TCAACTTGCTAGATGGTATGTATGATTTTTATATTTGTTGAGGTAGGGATTGAGAGATATTCTGACTCTGGTGTATCTTAAAAATAATGGAGCAAGTAACAGAGAACTGCATTTGTTTAGGGGGACGCACCTAGACATTCAGTGTAAATAGGAAGTACATTTGTGTATGCAACATAGGTTTTATGATATATGTCTAAATATATAGTATAGTAATGTGCACAATGTTGATGTAAATATAGTGGTTCATCTTGCCATATCACAGGCCTGTTTGTTTGTTATACACAAATTCTGCTCCGTGATATATCTGTACATTTTCGGTTGTGTTACTTAGAGACCTACTTTGTGTGCATGTACTGTGTGCCAGGCCCTGCTACATTATGAAGCTGATGTATTTTATGATCTGTAAGACATCAATACCATCGGTGTTTCTTGTTGTAGAGAAAGAGACATATTATGGTCTGATTTGTGTATCTCTGCCTTTGATGTTTTCCAGGGTGCATTCACTTTCCATGGGAGCATGATAGACATGCCATTGCTTAAGCAGGCACAGAACATTGTTACGCTTGCCAGAGCCATCAAGAAAGAATCATCTGTTAAATGAAGCTCTCGCCGGGAGGCCAAACCGTACACACTCTCTTCTTAAAGGAAAAGAAGGACGATTTGAGAAATTAACTGTAGAATGGTCCATGCTATTGAGAATTGTGTCTCCATTTATTTTCTGTACATGTACACCATTAATTAAAATAAACATCCAGACCATGCTTGTTTCTGTCATTGTTCTAGGCATGGCTTTCAAGTGACTGCTATTCACTGACACCCTCCCCCCTTATAAAAGTCTAAACTGGAGTTAAAAAGAGGATACATGGGCTGAACTGCTGTAAACTTGCGGTTATAATTCACACAAAGCAGGACAGGCTCTCCAGCCAGATTTGCATGACACTGGAGATACTGCTACAGGTCATGTGCTTCTTGTTGTTAACTGGCTTAGCAAAGCTGTTTTGGAGAGGTTAACGCAGCTTGTAGCAAGGGTAAATAAACATAACAACCAACCATTGTCCCCTATTCACTGTGGACCCTTCTAGCCAAGGCTAAAGGGTATTGTAGCTGCAGAGGATCAGCTTGTGGTTGCCAGAGGGCTCCAATGAAGTTTGAAACAGCAACAATCAGAGATTTTGTTTCTTGTTCCTCATTAAATCATGAGCTTTTGTGTCCCAGCTAGGAAAAAGGGACCGTTCTTTGAGAAATTAACAGAATAGAAAGTTTTAAACCATGCACCAGCCTCTCTATGACCCTTACACATCCACACACCACAGGAAGGCTGCTCTGTTTATTTAAAGGGGTAAATAGAAAACATTTAACCCTTTCCACACCAGGCTGGCACCACAGGGATACATGTATTGGTTATATTGACATGTCAAGTTCATGATCCTTCACATTACATTGTGATACATAGTGATGGATACAAATAATGGGGCACCCATAATTTGTAATGGGACCGGTATGATGATGTGAGGGTGACTTGCAGAACCCTAAAGAAAGTGATGAAATGTATTGGGAGGTGAATCTAAAGAATGCCAACATATATTCCTTAATTATTAGATATCATGGCTATGCTTAGTGGCTGCAGAGAATCATTGTGTAATAACAGTGCAACTATGTATCTTAAAGTAAATGTATATTCATAAACAAAATACAATTTAATATATAAGTGGACATGGTGGCATGGGATTTAATTTTTATGTTTATTTTTTTTTACATCAGGTACATCTGCATGGTACATAATTTGATTTGGTTATTTGAAATTAGAGCCAATGTTAAAATATATTGACTGGTGATATTGTTTCTTAATCCCTTAAAGACTGGTGACTGGATAGCCTTTAACTTATCTATACGAAATGAAAATTGTCACTCATGTAATAGTGGCTGTATAGAGCTGTAAATCCTAACTAACAGGTTAGTCCCCATAATAGCAAGGTATCTTTATGGACCAAACTATGACTTGACATAAAATAGCATTGGCACTTAAGAAGTTAAATTTCTCACACCAAAGAAACTAATTACTAAAACTGTGATGTGATCAGAAAGTGAAAAAACAACTCCACAGTGAAAGAACGTTATTGTTCCTGTATTTCACAAATATTCAAGTGATATGTGATATATGCTATACCTGTACCAAGGCTAGGCTTTGAGGTCCCATATGTGTGGCTACAAGCTATAGGACACCACTGGGGGTATAGGTTATTATGTGACCTTCATCTGTTCGGGTTCTGAAAAACCCTGCAAAGTGTTTGTACACACATTCTGGGGAAAGTTAAGCACAGATGAATGAGCCACTTTTACATCTCAGGTCTGATTGATTAGCAAGACTAAATGAACCTGTCACCCCAGGAGGGGATTACACCAGGTCAGAGTTGAGCTGTCTTAAGCTTTTCAAACCATCAACAGGTTTCAATGCATGGTATTAAATCTTCACTTCAATCCAAGTATCCCATCAGCTATTTATCTCAAATTCGCTCAGTTAAAATACATTGAAAGTAAGTGCATCTTCATTGAAGACATTTCTGTATGTACTGTCTATAAACGGTGAAAAATCCCTAAAGTTACAGCAAAGAGGGGAGAGGGGACCAGTGAGACAATAGCAATACCAAACACCTATTGTGTCTTGTGATGACTGTGATAAATGAAAGCTATTGTACAAAGCCAGCACCAAGATTGTAAAAAATCCTACCCCAGAAAGCGTTTTGTTACTGATCTCCTGTTATGTGGCTTATCAATGTCTTCTGACAACACTTTTATTAACTGCCTTTGAGGGGTTGCAGAGCTTTGAACTAAATGTCTTATGTTGAGATTTCAATTTTGGAATGGTACAAGTTCTAAAAGAATTCATCCAGCAGAGTCTCTCCTCTCTGTCTCAGTGCTATTTCATCCAAAATGGTCACCAGGAACAGCGGCTTTAGACGAATATTCCCAAGTAGTGGGTTAAATAAATCATCATTGAGAGAGAGGGGAGTCTGGCTGCACCCACAGACAGTGACACACACCCCCAGGTGGGAGATACTAGGGATTCCAGATCCAGAGGTTTTAGACGGTTCTTTCCAATTCTACACGCGCTCTAGACTACGAGAGGCAGATGTAGACATTTTTTATGTTCTTTCGTTGTTGTGTTTTTGTTTTTTTTATTGTTTTCTAAATTGATTGCATTAACTCAACAGGCAATTTCTATATATATTTTTTTTTTTTTAACGAACAACGCCAAAACCACCCTAAGTATAAATACATATAATATTTATATTAAAACAAGGCAAATGGTACAGAGACCTCAGTAATGAAACTTAATGGGGTAAAGTGTTCTCAAAAAACTGCCATTACACAAATTATTAATTTTAATCAATACTGCACTCCTTCCACGTCTAAAGGTAAATAAAGATTCTTTGCAGCCTAAATATAGTGCATATATAGGAATTCACTAAATTTTAAACTAACGTCTGCCTGCAACGTCCACAGAAATCTCTCTTTCTCTGTGTGTGTGTGTGTGTGTGTGTGTGTGTGGTTTATTTGTGTTGCCCTTGTGTGAGTGTTCTAGAAAGCCTTTTTACTTTGCTGGCATTGAATATTGCTACCAGAGAACAGTTGGCACCCTGTATACAGAGTGTACCCTTTGTGGAAATGTATGAGGATCTCGATTACACAGGATTGGGGATAGATTATAGCTCTCACAAGTCAACGTTCCTGATTTGGCTCAGAAAATAAAATACATGTGAAATCTGCTTCGAATAATCTTAAATTGACTTTTGCAGTCTAATCCTCTGTTCACAGAGCGCGAATTGTAGAAGCACAGCCTTATGTAGGCGATTGTCACTTATCCTCAAAGCAAGAGCAATAAAGAGCAGCGGGAACAATTAACGATGTATTAAACATTTCACTCATTATGTATTTTCACACATTCAAGAAACTTAAGAAGAAAAAAAAAAGACCCAGTTACAAAAAAGAGGCACTGACTTTGTTCACAGATATATTATTTAATACCTAAATTATATATATATAAATTTATATCTGAAATATTTATGTATTTAAAAAAAAAAAACATACATTTTTCGAAAATGTTATGTAACTTTGTATACTACCGATTTAACCCTTTAATGGGTTAGTATTGTAAGAGTGACATGTTTAGCAATTTCTTCTACAGACAATATTACACTGACAATCATGGATGGTAACACTATTACATATTAGCACAACTAATGAGAAACAATTACTTAGAAAATGAGCTGGTGCATGATTGAGGGGGATGTAGTGTTGTGTGTGTAGATTGCTTCAATAATTCATTTGATGCAGAGCAATGTGCAGTTTGAATGTATAGTACTGACACAGAACGAGAATATGGAAAAAAAATGTTATGCCTAGGCTTTTTTCATTAATCTCAGTAGGACCCGTGTGGTGTAGATTGTTTTTTCCCTTTAATACTATGCCTAGGGGGGGGGCAAAATAATGTCTTCATTGTTAGCTGATAATGACAATCTGTGACTAACATATTTTTTTAAAGCTTGATAAGTGACAATACTATCACTAGAAGTGAAATCACCAGCAAGTAGGCATTCAGTGGGGTTTATTCACTAACCAGTTAATTGTTGGGGATTTAAAAGAGAATAGATTGGAAACATTTAGGCTACAATAGATGTGACTGTAGATGGCTTTAATACTTGCTTCTATTTAGTTGATTCAGCTTAAATGTTGGGATTCTGTTTGCAGTTCACTAGAATTCACTTTATATTGAATAAATACCAACTGCCTCTTTAATAGTGACTGTATGTGTCATATGTGTTGTGATGTCCATATCTCACTAGTTTAGGCAGTAGTGTACATTCATTTATATTTTCTGTCTGTTGTAGTGCTGTGTTGTTCTGCTAGTATATATTCACAATTCTTACAAATATGGCATTGTGTATATTTAACTAAACTCATGTACATTAATTATTGGAAGTTTTTTTTTTTCTTCACTAGTTTTGTAAGGTTACTGGAAGAAAACTGATGCAGCAGAATAGATTATGAGATTAGCAGTAGGGATTTTTTTTTTGCATATTAATGGCTATGGAGGCACCTAATGGGTTTGTAATTACAGATCTGCGTTTTAGGGGCTAGCCACTCCAAAGACCCCCCTGGGAGGTTTTCACATTGGGATTTGAGGGGGGAAAGTGGAAAAGTAATTGCTAGGGTCTAATATTAAAATGTTAAAGCCATTTCCCTTCTTAAGGCCTCTTTCAAAGAAACCGGGTAAATTGGAAATAAATTGCTTTTTTAGTGAATAGGTTAGCACCTGAGTATTTGTATATCCACATTGTGCAGTCTGTGTTTTAATCCCTAAGACCTGATCGTGTGGTATGCAAATAGTTAAAGAAAAATAAAATAATAATTGATAAATAGTTTATTTTCGTTTATATATGTCAGAGAGAGAGAGAGTGTGTGTCAGCTCAATAAATGTACCATTATAAATTAAATAGAATATAAATTTGACATTTTAGTCCTTAAAAAAAATTGATAAAAATATATCTTTATCTTTGGTGCTTGATGATTTTGCAACGAATTATTTAAATACATTTGCCTTACTTGCATGCTGCACGATTTTACTGATATAATGTATTTATACATAACAACTAAAAATAAACTTACATAAATGATGAGATCTCAAAATTGTGAATAAGTAGATATTTAAAGGTGTACACTGTTAATTGTAACGCTTAATGATTTCTTAAGCATGCAATGTATTCGAAGAATCCATTGACTCTATCTTACCCAACAAAATGTAATAAAATAACATACGGTATATTCTATAAATATTAAACAATCCGTTGGAGTTACTCCTTCTATGAGAAACGAATGCAAGGTAAGGAACAAGGTTTATCAATGAATCAACAGATTCTAAAATTAATTTTTCGTTTACTCCTAATAATTAGATCAAATGGAGTGCATATTGTGTGTTATAAATCAGTGTGTGCAGATGTAAAAAGGATCAATAAAAAAACAACCGCTAACATTTCTCCTACAGCTCCTAGGGGGATATTCACTAAACAGCGAATTGTCAGTAATTTGTTTTTCACCGATTTGTAATCTTTACACGAAAATGCAAACGCGGTTAAAATATCCAACTCTCCAAACTGCATTTTTGTCTTGTTCTTCCAGTGGCTAGACATTACTCCTACTTTACTGTTTAAAGAATGAACCCAAGTAACTATTTTATTTCAGAAATCAGGAGTTTGATGTTGTGTAAACGATATTTCTTATTGGTACCTATGTCTGTTATATGTGTGTCTCACTAATTAGTTTTGTGACATAGCATTAGCACTTTCTCTGTGTATAACAAATTGAGAGCCTCTCTGTGTGCAATTTCTTTTTAGATTATCTTAAATGGTATTTCTGTATATAACATATTAAATTCAACCTGTCTGTATATAGTCTATTAAATATGCTCTCTATATAACATACTGAACTCTCTCTCTATTACATATCAATTGCCCTCTCTCTTTATAACCTACTAAATACCCTCTCTCTATATAAGATACTAAATACCTTTTTTGTATATTCAATACCAAACACCCTATCTATATTTAACATATTAATTGCCCTATCTCTACAGAACATATTCTTTGCACTCTCTTTGTGTTTAATATATTAATTGCCCTCTCTCTATAGAACATATCAGTTGCACTCTCTCTGGGTTTTATATATTAATTGCCCTCTCTTGATATAACATATTAATTGCACTGTCCATATATAACACATCAATGGCACTCTGTGTGTACCATGTTAATTGCCCTCTTTCTGTGTATAACATATTAAGTGTTCTCTTTCTATATAATATACTAATTGCCCTCTGTCTGTGTATAACATTTTAATTGCCCTCTCCCTCCATTACTTGTCCTGCTTGCTGTTGCTGACTGAATACAGTTCTACATTGTAACATGTGCCTGTCCTGTTTATCTCATGTTACTTCATTTCATATAACAGTTCTTGGTGTTGATGATAATACATATATTTGCAGTTACCTGATCCTGTTTGAAAGCAGTTTAACCTACAAACAATGCATTAATCCCAGTTATTTAGTGCTCACACACATTTTCCCAAGTGCTATGACAGTGCATGGGGCTCTTGGTAAACCTGCATATTCTCGAGCAAGGTATGTAAAGAATGTAAGTGTATTTCCCTTTGCTAGTGGAGTGATTTTAACCTGTATATTATATGTCAAGTGTGGGTGTCTGTTGGTCTTATAGATGCTGGTAAGGATGTCTCTGAATATTCTTCACTGTCTGTGTCTCCCATTCTGTCTTGCTCACTGTAATGGTGACAGATCAAAGGCTGGCCCTTGTCTCCTGGCGCCCAGTACAATCCTGTCTCTTTTGTTTGCAGTTGCTAGGAAGCCGATAAACTAAGAGAAAACGTCAGGGGCATGTTAATCAGATGGTTACAGTGCAACAATGATGTCTGTCCTGGAGTCTGTCTGTCCACAGCCCCCATTCTCACACTTTTATTATTACTTATCTTGCAAAAAAAAGAAGGCCCTTTTTTTTTTTTTTTTTTATTATGACTTGTGTTTCACAAAGAGGTTTTTTTGTTGTCCTTTTTTGTCATTGTTTTTACTACAGAGTAACAATGTAACATCAAACAAGTAAAACATTTTTGTTTTTGTATAACATATTTATAGGGATTAAAATAAAATAGTGACAATAGTTCTGGTATAATGCCTTAGTTAAAGATAAAATGCAACTCTACTTAGCACAACTTTCTTTCAGTAATTGCAGACTGAAATATTCTATTTAATATCAATTTGCTACATTTACAGAAAAACATGCGTTTTTATATTATTTGTATAATGAATTGTGTGAAATGGGAATGGTTCCAGTTCTCTTTGTGTGTTAATTCAAATAATCTTTTGTGGTTTATAATTTAAAATAAATGATCCCTGCACCAGTTAAAAATAGAATATATCTGTACCAACTTTATTTCTAATGGATTCTGATGTTATTGTTTTTATTGGTCAGTGTGTGAATTCTGTTACTAGTTACTGTGTATCATTCAGTGTCAGCTTCTAAAAGAAGAAAAACTACCACAACAAGAGGACATAGTCTTAAATTAGAGGGACAAAGGTTTAAAAATAATATCAGGAAGTATTACTTTACTGAGAGGGTAGTGGATGCATGAATAGCCTTCCAGCTGAAGTGGTAGAGGTTAACACAGTAAAGGAGTTTAAGCATGCGTGGGATAGGCATAAGGCTATCCTAACTATAAGATAAGGCTAGGGACTAATGAAAGTATTTAAAAAAATTGGGCAGGCTAGATGGGCCGAATGGTTCTTATCTGCCGTCACATTCTATGTTTCTATGTTTCTATGTTTCTATATTCAAAGTCTGAGGGAAAGTTTTTGTTATTATTATTATTGTCATTTATATAGTGCCAACTGATTTTGAGGCACTTTACAATATTAAACACAAAGTCTGAACACTAGTACAGGCTACAGGGCGCCACAACCACTAAAACATATAACAATATGGTTTAGAATAATCCCATAAATGAAGAGTATTCTGTGGAAATGAAAAAATCCACTTTATTGAAACAGTAGTAACCAAAAGTGCAACATGCACAATATGGATAAAATAACAGTATTAAAAATAATAATACAATCAAAATGAACCAAGAACCCCTATGGATAGCAGCTGTAATCATACAAGTGAAAATAGTAAAGTGCCAAGTACAAAGGTGCAAGTGCCAGTAGTCCAAAAACAGCATAAAGTGCACAGATACTATAGGATGGAATACTTGTAGAAAAAGACTGCTATACCAAAAACTGCAGGGATCTTGGAGGTGCTCAACGCGTTTCGTCGATGTCGACTTCTTCAGGAGCTTGCTAGATTGCTGTTGGTCCCGTTCTTCTTTAAATCCGCCGGTCTGGCCGCCATTAATTGATCGCGCATGCGCAGACCGTGCCATGCGCACCTTCATACGTGATGACGTGCGGCTGGTCGGAAGTTGCTATATAAGTAAACTAATAATTTGAAAAATATTTTAGCACCTAGTATATTACCTAAAGAGGGCAAAGAGAAGGAGCACTTTTTATCCAAGAAACCTATGGGTTTCTTTAAATGTGGCAGGTGCAGTACCTAAAAATTTCAAGCAAATAAAACTACAGAATTTAGGAGCACTGTAACAAAGGAGGTCTTTAAAATAAAGCATTTTATTAATTGCCAGAGTAAAAATGTTGTATATTTACTACAATGCAAATGTGGCGTCCAGTATATAGGATGCACCATCAGAAAATTACATGTCAGATTACTTGAACATTTCAATGGGATTAATAATAAAAATATGAAACATAGTGTTCCTAAACACTGTACCACCTGTGATGTTTTTAATTTGAAAGATTTTATATGTATTGGAATTGACTTGATCATACCACATTGGAGAGGGGGTAATACTGAAAAAATGTTGGCAATGAGGGAAACCGAATGGATATACAAGATGAAATCATCGGTTCCCTCGGGCCTCAACACAGATCTCAATATACTTGTTTTTATTGATTAATTTGCATATATTAATCTGTTGTTTTTATGTCCCCTTTTTATATCCCCTTTCTATGAGCAATGAAGAATGAAACAACAGAAAAATTATTATTTTTACTCTTTGGATCGTATATAGTATTACTTTTTGTGGCAAACCTAGCCACTTGGACGATAATCAGAGACTATGCCTTTAAGGGTTGCCTATAGGTCTGGGGAGATATGTGCTTTACTCTGTATGTGTATGCTATATGTATTTTCTGCATTGCCTGTATTTGCCCTTTTGCCGAATGCAAATGGCGGTTTGTATGGGGGTTGTCTTTCGTTTCACGAACGGCACTTTGGAAGGCCGTTCGTGAACCGAACGCAATACCCCTAATAGCCCACACACTTAGAGGCGTGTGGCGCTAGTTAACCGATTGCAACAATGTTGCAAACGGTAATTAGAGGCTCTCCTGGGTGGCCGTCGTTCGACTACCGACCATGCGGCGGTCGGCCATCTTGGATCCTTTGTTCCCTCAGCGGTGCTAGGTCGTCGAGCGCATGGTACTAAAAACGGCTACTCGACGGCACGAACACCGCTGAGCTTCCAGGACGTTCGGGAGTTTCGGGCCATTCGGGATTTTGTTCCCTGAAAGCAATCGGTCCTTTTCATATGTTTTATAAGAAATGTGTTTTTGCGGCGTTCGGTTATTTTAGCTGGGATCTGAGCGGGTATCTCAC